CTTCTGCTCAGGTCATGATCCTGGGGTTCTGGGATCAAACCCTGAGTCGGGCTCCCTGCTTGGCGGGGAGTCTGCTTCTCCCTCTCTCTACTCCTCCTCCCTGCTCGTGCTCGCTCTTTCTCTCTCAAGATAAATAAATAAAATCTTAAAAAAAAAAAAAGCATATCTGGAGGCTACTCCTGAAAGCATAAGACTAATCACTTGCCTGGTGAAAAATGAATCTAGCGGAGCCTACTCACTCACTCATAAAAGAATATTCCTACTGGACCCACCACGTATCTAGCACTCACATAGGTTAATTTCACAGTGATAGAGAAGCCATTAGGTAAACAGGTGTCTATATATATATATATATATTTTGGTTCTAGAAACCCTGAAAGAAGTTTAGAGCATTAAGGCAAAAGCATGTGTTCTAACTCTATAACTGGATGAGGAATACTTATATTTCTTTTATTAGAGGGAAGATATTTGAGAAACTCTGAAAGCTCAGATACAAATATATACCTTTCCTCCTCTTTTCCTTTTAAGCAAAATTTTAACTAAATTTTAGTTGATATGAGTGACAGAAAATTCAGGCTGTGACCAGAAGAACTAAAGGAAGGCGCCTCCTTACTTTTGTTCCCTTTTTTAAACAGGAGGGATTTGAGAGTTCTGATTTATTTCTCTTGTTCCCTTTTATTGTTCATGAACTTAAGGCTGCATTCCATTGACTCCAAAGTAATTTCTGAAAAAAGATCTGCTGACATTACAGGGTATCTGGATCATTAACCATGTCAGTGCTGACCAAGGAAATAATGTTCTGGCAGAAAATAGTTATTTGTTTAAAACAAAGGCTGAGATGTTGCCATTGCACACATCCTTATAGATGGCATATAGGTTATTTATTTTTGTGGAAAGTTCTCAGGAAACCTGGAAGCTAAAGATAATGCTGTTGATTAGAAAGCAGAATTAGAAATATTATGTGTATTCTCCCCATTCTGTCCTATTCCTCCTAGAAAATAAAATCGCCAACTTGGTGTCCCCTAATTTTTAGGGCATCCATCTTTTTGTTCCATTAGGGGATGTACTAGTCATGACATGGGGAGGGAGGTTATGATAGGGTACAAAAATGAATGGTAAGGGGAAGAAGCTGACTTGAAAAATAGATCCAATGGAGAAGAGTCGAAGGAATAAAGAATCTTTTGCTTGAAAAAAAGAAAAGACAGTTTCTCACAATTTTTCATTTATAACAGAGGTTGGTAAATATCTTTTTTGTGTGTGGACAGTGGGGCACTACCAGATTACATAGTAATATTATGTAGATATTATGCTGGCATATATATAATAAGAAAGAAAACAAATTTACACGATATTTTTCTGATGAAATTAAAAATATAATAATGGAGGGCAATTTTTTTTCAATGCTTGTTTACCAATGAGAAGCCTGGAATTTGTGGGGGGAAGGACAACATTTGGCTTAACTGGGATTATAAATAGTGTTCCCTATTTTAAAATCATTACAAATACTCATCTGTAAAAACTCCTATTTCACAATCTATACAAAAGTAGGTGCTGAGCTGCACTTAGTGCATAAGCCACAGTTTTCTGGCCTCTTCTATGGAGTCTTTTTCAACCCTGAGAAGCAGTTATTCTCAGCATCCATCAGGAATTGCATTAGAGGGAATGAACATGAATGTCAGTGATAAGAATCAGGGCTCTATATAGGAAAACATAGAGAGAGTAGGCAAGGGCTGTGGGGACAGAAATATAGGGAATTAACTAACATTTCTGCTGTCTGAACTCAGATAAAAAAAACAAATCTCTTGAAAGTCTATGTACTCCACGCTATATCCAGACAATATTTTTTTTCTAGGTGATGGACAAGTGTCAGTTTTTATGTTTCTCCCCCTCTACTATGTAGTTTTTAAGCTTTGTTTTGTTAATACCCAACATCAATTGTACCTGTAAATAAGGTCTGGACCTAAAAATAACCTGTTCTCCATTAAGGTCCATCAATTTCTATGAAGTAAACGCTATGTAAGAATTTCCAATAAAGCAATATACTTACAAATACATTGCCTGGATTTTTTTTTTTTTCATATTTCTTTTACTGTAGAGTAAAGCTCCATTCTAAGGTACCATAATTTATGGTGGATTAGGTTTTATTGCAGACAAAAATGACCTTCCTCTAATACCAGGGTGGACGTTCAATGTTGACTAATACTATGTCACATAAACACCAGTGTCCTGGTAATCTGAAAAAGAAGGCTCTACCTTTAAGATAAAACAGCTGTGTTATCATTTTGCAAGCTCCTTAACATCACAACTGTTAGATTTGTTGTCAGGAAGGAAAACTCAGCAAACACATATCGTACTTACATTTAACGCTTTTGCTCAAGGTAGAAATAATTTTAAAAAGCAACTTAATTTTAGCAGAGTGTTCAAAACCTGCCTGTTTCTCTTCCTTAAGCCTTACTTTTGTGTAGTTTGTAGAGAATGTAACATTTTCCTCATCCTATACTTGATCTTAGCCAAAAGGCCGAGAAGAAATTTTCCTCATCCTAAAATAAGTTTGTCGGGCATAACACTTCTCTGTGTAATGTCCACTAATTCTGTAAGAATCAGGCTAGAGGTCTTCTTCTCTAGGAAACTCCTCTTACTGGCCCTCACGCCCAGATAGGGCACTACCTCCTTGAGCTTCCACAACACCATGCCCACATTCCTACCATTACACTTCCATACCGTGTTAGCAGTCTGTTTAAAATTCCATCCAGTCTAACCCAGTTAGACTTTGGGCAACTTTAAGGCAGAGGTCACATCTTATTCACATCACTCTATCCCAAGCACCTAAGCACGGTGCCGAACACACAGTAGGAGCTCGTTATAAGCTTTCTAAATTAAAGGGTAAGTGCATGGATGCACTGAGGGACAACCAGACAAGTACGGAAGTTCTAGTTTCCCCCAGGGATGGACTAGCACTCTTTTCCTCAGTGCTTTCCAAGGAGGTCAGTGTGACGATGACATGATTCTGGATGTAGGATAAGGTTGAGGAGCACTAAAGAACAGGAAGAGGACAAGGAGATGCCCAAGAATGAGAAAGGCCCATTACCTGTGAGCAGGAGGAATGCGATGTGGCCCAGGGTTGCTGGTGCTAGTTAGGGCCTTTGTAATGTTGGCTGCAGGGCTGGTTGCCAAATCATCGCCTCTTCTTTTCTTCCTTCTCTCCCTCCCTCCCATCCTTCCTTTTCTTTATTGTTTATTTACTTTTTAGTTCATCCCTACCATTTTGTAACACGTTTTTTGCAATTCCCTATCTCTGCTGAAAGGACCCAAGGAAGCTCTGCTTGGCAAAACTCTATGGGGTCAGAACCCCCGTCCCTGCTCTTTCTCCTTGCCCTTCCATCCCGTGGTGATGAGGAAAGAAAGTAGGAGGATCCTATCACTTTTTCATTGCTGAATATTTGGAGACTTTTCCTTTTGTTTGAATATGGGTGGTAGGGTTGAGGGAGGGAGAAAAGCCTTTTTTCGTGGGAGTCTCTTCCTTGTCCTTTAATACTAGCCCTCGAAAAACCTTTTATAGACTCCTCAATGCTCAGGGCTGCAAGTACACCCACAGATTCCTTCCCACATCTGTAGTGCTCTTCTCACTGCCTCTTCCCTGCATCCCCCTTTTTTTGGATGGGTTTAGCTTCCTGTAAGGAGTCAAACATGTCTTTGATATCTGGCCAAACTTTGTTTACCCCCTTCTCTTCCTGCCCCAAATTTCAGCTCCATTTCTAGCCACTGAAGCTGAGGAATAAGCTATAGATGAGCAACTGGAAGACTAACCACATACTGCCTGCCCACCTGCATAGTCATGATCTGGGGAGCCTGCCCAGGGCCCCACGGAACATCAGCTAGAGACTCCGGGAGGGTAGAGGTGTGGAAATGGCTGGTTTCCACATTCACCATGTCTAAGTCCTATGCCACATGCAAAAACTGTGTGTAAGTACTCAGGAGAACATTAGGGCTTTCATTTTTCTAATCCATCCTATACTAATTAGAAAATGAGAACAGTTATTAATTTTTACAGCAGTCAGTTTTCAAAAAGAAAAGAGTAAGTTCATATACATGAACTATGAGGCAATTTTGCTCTCCAGAAAAATGGATGTGGGGATCCGATGGGGGCAGTGATGCAGCAGAAGATGCAAAAGGCCCGCTGTGATTAGTGACCTAGTGGCTGCTGACATTTTAAAATTTGGGAACAAGTCGAAGCAAGTCCCTTTGTTTCTTCAAGTATTATTGCCTCTTTTCATGCTGTGGTCTGATGTAGGCAAATGTAGTTAATACTCTGATACAAAGGGCTAATTTTGTAGCTTCAGAAAGAAACTTCTGTGCTTTCCAGGAGCTTGTAAACATTTTTCTACACTTGTAAGGGAAACACAGATATAAAGAGGACTTAATATTTGATGTTTTATAATGTTCATGGAAACCATTCTGATGGCACTGCATGGACAATACCAAGGTTAGAGAAAAGAAGAAAAATATCCATCCAGATTTAAACCATCCCAAGGAAAAAAAAGTGGGGGGGGAGCGCCTGGGTGGTTCAGTCGTTAAGCGCCTGCCTTCGGCTCAAGTCATGATCCCAGGGTCCTGGGATCGAGCCCCGCATCAGGCTCCCTTCTCAGCGGGAAGCCTGCTTCTCCCTCTCCTACTCCCGCTGCTTCTGTTCCCTCTCTCGCTGTGTCTCTCTCTGTCAAATAAATAAATAAAATCTTAAAAAAAAAAAAAAATCCCAAGGAAGGATTTCCATATATATCCAGAGGCTTATCCATTTCAATACTTTAGCAGTTAAGAGCAATTAAGCCTTCAGAATTACTTATGGATAGTCTCTCTGCCATTTGTGCATCCTGATACTCTTTATTGCTGTGTAAACATATTTTTATCAACACTTACAAGACAACCAGTTTTAATAAACAAAGTAACAAACATAAACTATAGGATTCAGGAGGGTAATTAGTCCAAACAACTGGCATACTTACAGTTGCATTTCTTCTGAACAAACCTAAGCTTGCATGCTGTTCTGTAGGTGGAGAGTCGGATACGATCCAGATCTTGAGCCCCTGGTGGGGGGAGAAAAGTACACATATGGTATGCCATGTGTGTGGAAAGGGATTTGTAATATTTATAAAGAAAACAACGATAGATATTATAACCCATTCACTTAACTTGATTTTTATTTTTATTAGAACACAAATATAACTTTGAGACTTGAAAAGGTCTGCCTCATATCCCTCAGGTTATAGGGGAAGAGAGCACACGTAGCCAGCACGTTGGTTGTCGACAATGTTCATGGGCCGAGGAACACGACCTCAGTCCTGTGGTGTCTGCCACTTCCGAGAACAGTCTGCTCAAGTTGTGACTTTAAACAGCAAGATGATAGCGGTGTCATCAAATAACCATTTTAAATGCACTGTGATGGGTCCTCAGAATATGGCTGCGAGGTGAGCACTCGCTGAATATGGGGTATCTTTCCTGTGTGACCTTAGGCCAACTGCTTTTATTTATTTTTATTTATAAGATTATTTATTTGTTATTTATTTATTTATTTATCTATCTGAGAGAGAGAGAGAGGGGGAGAGAAAGAGGGAGAGAGAGCACAAGTGGGGGGAGGGGCAGAGGGTGAGGAACAAGCAGACTCCCCACTGAGCGCAGTCTGTGGGGGGTGGTGGTGGTGGGGGTGGGTGCTTGATCCCAGGACCCCAAGATCATGCCCTGAGCCAAAGGCAGATGCTTAACTGACTGAGCCACCCACGTGTCCAGGTCAACTGCTTTTAGAAACCTCAGTTTTCTCATCTGGAAGTTAGGGATGATGATACTCCTACTACTTATTTCACAGAATTAGAAGGCAAATGCATGACTACACCTAAGCACAGAGAACACTGCCTGGCACATAGTTCGGGCTGTGTATTCATTAGTATTACTAGTGCGTATCCTGCAAACCTTCCCGTCAACCTCAGAGGAGACTCCTTTCTAAAAACAACCACTACTCTTTCTTACACTGTGGCTTCTCATTCCTCTCTAAAAAGAGGAGCATGGTCCTCATATTCTTGAACTACTTTCCTCATTCTACACTTCTACTCAAGAATCCAGCATGGCTTCTGCTGCTCACCAGGTCTGAATGTTCTGCTGAGAATCCAAGTCCCTCTGTGTGTTCTTTCCATGCCACCAACCCAGTAATATTTCCTATGACTCTATCCAGAACCTCTGCCAGGCTCGGGCTGGTGTCCTCACAATGCTCTGCAGATGGGCTTCTTGCTACATCCACACTGGAGCTCCTGGTGATCCTCCTACCCTTTTCTGAATGAGCTGATCTCTAGACTGTGTCTAGAACATAGCAGACTTTCAACAAATGTCTGTTCTTCTCTGCTTCCAAATATTTGGCTTTCTTAAGCCCATGTTTATAGTTCATAACAGATATAAAGGCACAGAGCTATATTTTGACATGTGTTGAACTTTACCAGTAAAAGTGCTACATAAATGTTTCAAAATAGAATAGTTAGGGTAGGAGGTAAACGAAGTGGCCTAGAAATAATTATATTAGGAGGTCAATTAAGTGCTTTCCTAATGAAACTCGGGATGAATTAGCAAGTGTCCTGCATTGAGAGCATTTAGCATCCCCTAGAATCAAACTGATCTCTTTAGATTCATTTAAAAATGATATCAATATTCCCATTGCTTTATAGCTTTATGAAGCAGATCATTAAACATTTATTTTTATGAGAGTGCATTACTTGACAAACAGGCTCATTGACACAGTGCTTGAAGGATCAAAGAGATAGGTAGAGCCTACCCTCACCCAAGGCGGGAATTCTCTTAAACATGCTCTCAAGAGATGGACATGTGGACAATGGCCATATAAGATTATTTTCAAAGATAGGGATGATTATAACTTAGTAAAAATAAATTAACTTTAAAGTCAGTAAGGCTTAATCTTTCATTTCCTAGTTGTGTGAACTTTGACAAGTTTTTACTCGGTGTCTGATTTCTTCATGTATATGGGGGTAACAATATCAGTTTTACCAGCTGGTAATGTCTGAAGCTTGTACCGTGAGCACTTAATAGCAGGTGGGACTACTTCAAAGATTTCTTATACCATTTCTGAGCAACAATAAGTGATAGAAATTTCTTTTTTACATTTGAGCTTTAATTTGCATCCCGATAAGTTCAATTCATTTGATCCTTTCTGGATACACATAATCTTTTCTCCCTGCCATTTGATAATTTATTTCTCACACATTGGGAAGCAGCTATCATGATCATGACTAGCATCTTCATTACCATCTGAAGATTATGTACAAACGCCCCTGTCGTCATGGAGTTTAGAGTTTAGCTGGGATCATAACTTCTTGACCTTTTAGATTGGAGAGGTTCAATTCCATAGCCATTTCAAGCACAATGTCTACCACAGAGGGAGGCACACAATAGGGCTTCAATACATGCATGTTGCTATTATGATTCTCATTATCATCAGACATGGCTTTGAGACCTTTATCCATTCTAGTCTTCCTGCTCTCTGGCTGACTCGTATCTCCTCAGAATGAGATATACAAAATTAAAATGCCACAGTCATTGCCTCGCCTATATAGGATATATAGAAAGCAATCATTACCAACTTTGATAAGGACACTTACTAATGCAATTAAAAAAAATAAATGGCTCATTCTTCTGGCTCTTTTCATTAAAAAGCGGGTTTTAAAAAATCATATGGACCTACATCTGGTCAGATTTTTCTGTTTTCTAGTTAAATGTTTATTTGGAGGCTAAAGATAGGATGTTGTATTTATCTGGTTAGTTTCTTTTAATTTTTAGCTCGTGCTTGTAACCATTCTAAAAATTTTGATTTTGCCACCGGCATTTCAAAGGGACTTCCCAGTTTCGTGTCCTTCTGTGGAACATGAACTCTCTAGAGACAGAGAGAGTTCAGAAATCCCTGAACACTAAACCTGCCTTTTCCTCTGGATGAAGATGTATTTTTATTGATGCTGAGCTTGACTCAACATTCAAGAGAGTCTCAGTATCTGTAAATAAGTTTTTAAAAGAAGACATTAGGGACATAGATTATTTGTGTAAGTTCTGGGAGAATAACGATAAGCCCCAGGTATCAAACGGCTGCAATGTCGCACAATTAAATGTCTTAGTTCCAGCAAGACCAGATCCTCCGAGGACAGAAACTGGCTCCTTGGCACCTCCTTCCCACAGAGGTCCTAGGGGCAATTTGACAAAGGTGCATCTCTCCTGCACGTAGTCAAGAGGGGCACAGAGATGATACTTAGGGACAGGAGACTGACCGCGTTCCCTGTCCTATCACCACGTGAACTTAACTGACCCTCTGTTTTGTTCGAGTCAGGAAGGGGTCTGAGGGTTTCTTGATGTTTCCTATTTGTATAAATTCTTCCTGGCTGAGGATGTAAGCCCTGAATATCAGACAGGATGGGGTGAGCAACGAAACTCAGCTTTTCAGACATTAGCTTTTCATATCACCTTGCACAAAACAATGTTAAGTGGCAACCACAGGATCCATATGGTTCTGGGACCCAAAAAAGCTGAGCTGAGACATGGTGCACTGCCTCTTGCTCTGTTTATCCAACTTTTTATTTTATTTTATTTATTTTATTTATTTTATTTATTTTATTTTTTTAAAGATTTTATTTATTATTTATTTGAGAGAGAGAGAATGAGAGACACAGAGCATGAGAGGGGGGAGGGTCAGAGGGAGAAGCAGACTCCCCGCTGAGCGGGGAGCCCGATGTGGGACTCGATCCCAGGACTCCAGGATCATGACCTGAGCCGAAGGCAGTCGCTTAACCAACTGAGCCACCCAGGCGCCCCTGTTTATCCAACTTTTTAAAAATAAATTTGTCTCTGCCCCAGTAAACCATAAACTTAATTCAGTTTTACATGTGTGGTCTTTCTTCTCAAAAGTCTACAAGTTTGTAGCCTGCCATGGGAGTAGTTGCATGTCTTCTGTGTCCAAGTCGGTTAAAACCAAGGACATGAACAGGACCACAAATAGACTCTTCCAGTATGCTACTAGAAGCTGTCCTCCAAGTTGACCCATTACTTATTCCTGCAGACAGGGTCACACCACCACCTATAAATCTACCTAATTGTAGTGATTCAGCTCACATTTCTCCAATACAAGCACAGTGTAAGAGACTTTGCCAGTATCTTGCTGAAATTCAGGTTCATTTTTATGCCATAGTATTTTCCTGAGCTACCGGTCTAGTAGCCTCATTAAAAAGGGGAATTAGCTGACTTAATTCCTTTATAAAAAAGAATTTTAATAAATGAATAAAGAAGTCAGTAGAGCAATCCTTGTTCTTAGCATGTTGAAATATCTAGGATTAGCACTATATTTATTACGTGATCTGAAAAAAAAATCCATCTTATCATAAAACTTAAAAGTTCATACCCTAGATGCTCAAGAATCTATATTCTCCCTTTTTAAGAAAAAATGGGTATAGCAAAAAAAAAATGAGTATAGTATTTCCCTGTTTTTTCTTTTTTGCAATGTCCTCTTAATTATTTCTGAAAACAAAACAAAACAAAACAAAAAATGGATGGTCTTTTTTCTTTTAGTATTATACCACTGGGATATAATTCTTTAAAACATGTAGATTCAACTCATTTAAAATCTAATATATTAGATTTTCTTCATAATAATATAGAGGGTGCTGGGGGTAAATAATTAAGGGTGGAGATGAATATTATTTTCTAGACTCCTGTATATATTTGAAACTTTTCATAATAAAAACGTAAAGCTCATTTACTAAGGCAACTTGATGTTCTTGTACCATCTCCTCAAATCTCTCATAACCATGTCATACTTGGAAGAAAGTGATAAAGACGAAAGCAAAGATGCACTTAAGAAATTCTGATTGATTACAGGGCTGCCTGGGTAGCTCAGTCAGTTAAGCGTCCCACTCTTAATTTTGGCTCAGGTCATGATCTCAGGATTGTGAGATCAAGCCCTGTGTCTGGCCCCACACTCCCCCCTACCCCCCACCTCTTCCTCTCTTTAAAAAAAAAAAAGAAATTCTAATTGATCACACTGCTATAT